GTTTTAAACCACATTCATGAACTCCAGGTCAGATTTACTAAATCACTCTCATCTCTCTCAAAACCCTCTGTACGTTCAACCACCATTGAAGAACAAGAAAGCTTGACAAAGAAGACAAAGTCTTCAAGGTTTTCATTCAAAATTCATGGATTTAGCTTCATTAAAGTATGTGTTCTTCACTCTTTGGATTCCTTTCCCCAAGAGGTCCTTTCAAAGGTGATTTCTAACAATTCAACTCCTAGGGTTTTTACTCTATAAATGTGTTTTCTTCCAAACTCGAAGTTTATGACTAATGATGATGAATTATAATTTTCTATGGCTAGTTAAGTATGCATTGTTAAATAATTGATATGGTATTGTTGGTTTTCGTGTGAAGCATGTTCTCTCCCTAATTCATGGATTTGATTCTATTACATCTATCACTTAGTCATGTATATCGGGTTTGGAACTATAGCTTGAATGAACCCTTTCCCTTAACCCCAACTATGAATTGGTCTTGTATATAACTAGAATGGTTGGGATTGGTTATGAGTATTTCACTATATTATTGGATGATTGTGGTGAATTAAGAGTAGGTTCTTGATGAAGAATCTTGGAAGCAATAGGTAAGTCTTCTAAATTCATGATCACTCTATTACGTAGATGTTGGCCTATAATTGATGATGTTATGCAATTTGAAGTATGTATGATGTTTTTATGCGTCTATGATAGGCTACGAATATGTTGAATTTGAGATCATGGTAAGGGTATGATAATGCAAGGTTGATGATGTTTCTCTTGTATGCCTTACACAATATGATGTGGAACTATGAGTCTCTAATATATATCCTAGTTCCTTAACTATGTTGCCACCATAAGAATACTAGCTAGTGGATCCACATAGAATGTTATGTTCATGTTTTGGTTCTCCTTTGTCCAGTAGACCACCTTCTTTCGGTGTGGGGTTTCATGACACCAAATTCCATGTTTATCTCACATGGTATAATGTCGGTTAAGGCGATTACACCCTCAAGTAAAATGAAAGACAAAAGTAAATGAACATTGAATAGGGTGACTTGAGGAGTCTACTTAGTATAGATGGGGGTATATGACTTTACCTAGACATTGCACAAGTTGACTCTAAGGGAAATCCTAGGAGATTGTCCTTGTGTTATATGATAATATGAAATGTATAATTCTTATGATATATGATGTCGTTCTTACATGATATTGGTTATGTTGATGAACATGTTATTGGTCTATATAGCTACATGTGGTGATGATTACGTATGATATAAGTTGTATAAAGCAAAGCATTTCTTACGGTCTCCTATCTTGTTTACTTGATTATGTGGGGTTATGGGGCTTCTCATGATAATTGCACTTATAGGTTTGGGATGGGATCATTGGTAAGTATTTGTATGTTATATTGATATGAACTATTGAACACGAAATGTCAATATGGCTTTATGATAATATGTCTTTGTCTATGATTATGCTTGATGTTGTTGTGATCCTTATCTCGTATATTCTCTATTGTATGTGCATCAAATGCTTTAAAATGACTTAGCATGATTTCTAAAGAATGGTCCTTTTCATGCATGGCTTTAAATGTTTTATGTGCATATACCCATACTTAGTACATGTGGTGTACTAACCCATATACTTTATATAACTACAAATGTAGGGTCTGAATGTAAAAGATTATGAAGGTCGATTGAAGAAGCTTGGAACTCTTTCTCCAAGTGTTGGTAGGTCCTCATGTTCGGGGATGCTATCCTTTAATTATTCTAGCCATGAAGTTTGTAGTAGTTTAAGAAAACACTCTTTTATTCTTTTTTTTAGTTGGATTCTAATTTAGTAAGGCCTATATGGCATATTGATATTGTATTGGCTAAGTCCAAGACTCATATTCTTTAGTTGGTTTTCATGTGAGATAGTTTTTAGACTATCGCATGTATGTTGATCATGTTGCTAAAAGTGAACCCTAAGTAAGCGTCTATGTGAGAGGTCTATGTATACCTCAATATATGATAAGCGAGAATGTCTAAATATACTTCACATAGTATATGTAAAAGTTTTTAATTTTGTCACATTTTAACCTATGACATGACATGATGAATGCTAAGGGCTTGTCTGATTCCTCTTCGAGGACGACGACGCCGGTTACTTTTGGGGGGTACTCTCTGGATGTGATAGAAAATGGAGATATTGAAAGACTTAAGGGAGATCACACTTGCATATAGGCATATATATTTTGTATAAATTTTGGGACTTGTACATGATCTATCTGTTGCATATTTACATGGAATTTTAAGGACTAATTTGATCATGTCACCATGGGTTGTAATATAAGTATGACTATACGTTTTAATTTTTGGAAGGGTATGTAAACCCAGTCTTTTGATACACTAATTTACTATATGTCTTGAAAGTTTGTGTGAAACGTGAATTGTCTAATTTCGGTACTCAAAAGTTGGTAACATTTGTGTTATTTCATCCTTAAGTGTGAGGATAATATATTCATGAAAAGCTTGTTGGTCATTTGCTTAACAGATTTTTTAGATGGTTTTTTGTCATAAGATAAAATTATGTGTCATATCAATTTTGACATCAAATAAATGTTTAAATAGGCAAGATGCACATCTTAACTAATTTACTTGTTATGAATCTAATCCCTCAACTAGATTAAAATGTATATGCCTTTCATTTATTATATTTTAAATGTCGCAAGTATGAAATTCAATTTCTTGTTAAGTGGTTGTATCTCTCGGAAAGGATCGCTACATCAACACTAGGCATGGTAAGACTCCCAATACTAGGATTCTTCCTACTCAAAGCATCGATCACCACATTGTCCTTCTCCAGATGATATAAGATAGTCATATCATAGTACTTTAGCAACTCGAGTCATCTACATATCTCAAGACTCCAATGATCAATGAAGACCTCAGAATGCAGCCCATACAAATAGTGACACCATAACTTGTGCACAAATACCAGGACCTATAACTTCAATTCATGTGTTAGGTAGTTCTTCTCAAGGGTCTTCAATTGCCTAGAAGCATAAGTGATTATCTATTCTATAGTAACCCAAGTCAACCACTAAAGCATCACAATAGAGAGTAAAGTCCAGACCCTCCTCGAGTACAATCAACGCATGAGATGAAGCCAACAAAGTCTTGAGCATTTGAAAGATCTCCTCACACTCATCAGACCACTAAGAACTCACACTTTGTCGAGCCAGTCTACTCAATGAGGCTGCAATAGCAGAGAACCTCTAAATATATTTTATGTAATAGCTGGTCAACCGCATAAAGCTCTAATATCAGGTTGGGAGAAGTAGGTTGTGTCCAGCCTCTTACTTCCTGGATCTTGGTCGGATCCACTCTACTACCCTCCTTGGACACATGTCCTAAGAATTCCATATAATTAAGTTAGAACACACACTTTGAGAACTTAATATACAACTTCTCCTCCACCAACCGCTGAAGTATAATGATCAAGCATCGAACATGGTCCTCCTTAGTCATGGAATACACCAATATATCATTAATGAAGACAATAACAGACGAATCCAAGTAAGGATAGAACACCTCATTCATCAACTCCGTGAACATTGAAAGGGAGTTAATCAATCTAAAGGACATCATTAGAACTCATAATAAACATATCGAGTATGAAAAGTTGTCTTAGGTATATCTAATGCTCTAATCTTCAACTAATGGTAACCGGACTTCAAATGTATCTTAGAGAATAATATTTCTCCCTGAATTTGATCTAATAAGTAATTAATACATGGGAGAGGATACTTTTTCTTCACCATTGACTTATTATAATGTCTGTAATTAATACACTTCCTCATAGTCCTGTCCTTCTTCACAAAAATATTGGGCCCCCCAAGGTGACACACAAGGACGAATAAGCTCTTTATGCAACAAACCCTGTAACTGATCCTTGAATTCCTTCAACTCAATTGGGGCCCTATGATATGGAGCAATATAAATAGGCTTAGTGTCTGGCTTAGTGTCACTAGAAAAATCAATATTCCTATCAAGAGGAACGCATGGAAGATCAAAAGGGACCACATCTGGAAACTCTTGCACAACAGGAACAATTTCTATGGGAGGTGACTAAACACTAGAGTTGACACTCAATTTGGCCTAACATTTATAAAATTCGTGACTTTTAAGTTTTATTTATTTAATATTTCAAAATACATTTTTTCATAATTTTAAGGAAAAAGGGACAAATATACCCCCGAGTTATCGCAAATGGTACCTAAATACTCTACGCTATACTTTTAGGACTCCCATGTCCTTACTGTCTAATTTTTGGAGAGTATATACCCTTATGATAGATGATGGGACACGTGGAATCATCTCAATGACTTGCCCAAAATCATTTAATTTTTACCTATATCCAACCAAGATAACTTAAACGCTCTGACCCAAATTATAACCGATTGACATCCTGACCCAAATGAAAGGGGGGAAAAGGCAAAGACAATTATTGCCTCTTTCATCTATTCCTCACTTCTTCTTTAATGACATCATTTCAAATTTCATCTTCTTCAATACAACAATTTATTACCATGTCAAATTTTGTATTCTCCTCATCCACTACTGGAACATTTGTTGTTGCTCTGCTAGGGCCGCGACAATGTTAGTGAGACTACCTTCTCTGGTGCTCTGCTCGGCGCTAATGGAGTTTGACAATGCAAATGAGTAATCTGGGATTTTAATGGGAAGAAAATCGAAGATTTTAATTGATTGAGGCTTGGGAATGAAGAACTTGACCAAAAGTTCTTGAGAAATTGAAAAATTCAATATAACTAAAGAAGATAGAGAAGTGTTTTGATTATAATTTGGGGGTGATTTTTATTTTCTCAATTAAAGATGTATAACGATCTTGTTTAACTTAAAAGGACACCTCTAAAGACAACTGGATTATAAAGTTGCACTACCAAAGGAAAATGTAAAAAATTAATTTCCCTATTTGCAGTTTGTTGATATCAAAAATTACCAAGATACATAATAAAGAAATGATGCCCACTCATGTTGATCAGTATTGAGAATATCATGAATATTTGATTCAAGACCTGAAACCTTAGTCACCAAGACGTCGAATTTCTCCTCCAATTGGGAAGAAAGCAAGATTCGATCAGTCCATAGATCTCTGAATATTAATATGAAGTGGGAATTGTAGTTGAAGCTCAAGTTAAACCTAATGTAAACCATAGAAATTTTGTTAGCATCATCTTCTCCTTCTTCAATTTGGGGATAGCTATAATGTTATTTTGGAGGGTTTAAAATTATTTGGGTGAGTCTTCAAAATTATTGGGTCAAAATTAAACAATTTTGGGTAAGTCACTGAGATGATGACACATGGTTTGTTGTTTATCATAAGGGTATAGATACTCTAAGATTTTTACGGTAAGGATGTGAGCGTCCTAAAAGTACAACAGGTGCTATTTAGATACCATTTACGGTAGTTCGAGAGTATATCTATCTTTTTTTCCTAATTTTAAATAAGTTTATCCTTATTTGTCAAATTTCAGGATTTTTTAACAGTTAAATTTAATTGTACTAAATTTTAATTGTATTTTTTTGTCACCATCGGTTGAATATGTTAAACTATTTCAATTAAATTATTATTTCGCTTAAATTACATTTTTATATGTCGTTAGTTACATTTGTTACATTTTCTAATATTCATTTTATCTGTTACATTTGTTAATATTCATTTTGATATTTTAAACAGACTAGAAATTCATTCAAATATGAAAAAATTTCATACATAGATATTTTATAAGTGGGTAATTTTGGTTCACAGTTTTAAAATAATAATATTGTGATATATATGATTTTCAATTTTCTAAGTTATTTTTTTTATAATTAAGTTAGTGGTTAGTAAAATTTAGGAGTAACTTTCAGATTTTTAGTCTAGTACAAGTTTTCTTTTGTTGTTCTTATTTTTTACGACAAGTCATTGGAGGTCCACCGGATGTCGGTGAGTCCACCGCCCCAAAACCCCCCTATTTTTATCTTTGTCGTTTCTTCTCCGGCAACAACAACCAAGGACTCTCAATTCTACTACTCAACCCTTTCCTTTTCTTCATTTATGGCGGTGAAACAAGCCACCAAAGCTTCACCATTCAATGCCGACTCCGGTAAATAAGCCACCAAACTCAAACCTGCCAAAAATCACAATTTTTTCCTGAAAACCAACAACCTAAATGAGCGTATCCCTTTTCCGACCAACCACCGGCCAAAATCCCAATTTTTCGAGCTCCACTAGTTCACTACCGACTAGCAATGCCATACGACCTCTATTTTTCCAGCAACCTTTACCAACAACAACACAACCAGAAACTCCAAACAACCCATTTGTTTTTCACTATTTTCGGCGAAGAATCAAGCCACCATTACCTCAACCCGAATTAATCCAGATTCAAAGCCACTGCCAGTCCCATTCCTCTTTCCCCCCCCCCCCCTTCTTTTCTTTTCTATTTTTTTGCAGGTTACCATCCCGTAAAGTCACAACCAGCCAGATTCCCCCGGTGATGCCATCAAAACAACGACATTTACGGGTAATTTTTCAAATTTTTAGATTGTTGTTTGTTACTTTAATTAGTGATTGTTTTTTTAAAAATTTATTCTATAGGGTTGATTTACTTTTGATAAATTTTATTCTCTCTGTTTTAAAAAGAATGACCTTATTTTTTTTAGTCTATTTCAAAAAGAATGATTCATTTTCCTATTGGCAACACTTTAACTTTAACTTTTCACATGACATGTTTAAGACCACAAGATAAAGGACATTTCAGTATGTTTGACAAAACTTTAATTTAGAATCAAAAGATCAAAAAGACTTCTTTCTTTTCATAAACTTCGTTCCAAATCAAAATAGGTCATTCGTTTTAAAACGGAGGGAGTACTTTTTTAATATAATAATTTATGGTGTTTGATATCTTTTACTCAATTTGATGTTGTTATATTGGAATGTTACTTATTTTCTTTGAAATTTTTATACTGTTGTTGGCTTATTATTTGTGTCATGTGCTTGATAAATTTGTTGTTTTCTTGTTATCTAATTGATAATTGATATTATATTTTTTGTATGTTAAAAGTTGGCCAATGAAAATAAATTCTATCAATTTTTGAGGCCTCTCTATTTTAAATGATGAAAGTTTTGTTCAAGTTTATATATTTTGTTTGTTCAAATTAGTCAATAGAGAAATTATCGTCGATTTTTAACGTCTCTAATGTTAATAAAACGAATTTATATTTTTAAGTTATCATTTGATTCATTTATTTTTATTCATATTTATTTATTAATAACATTTTTATTAAGTGTCTTTATAGGTACTCGGGGTTGTTTTCTGTTTAAACAATTAGAATGAAGTTCGAATTATATTATTTATTAATTCTTTTGTATATATGAATTCAGTCGATTTCGAAGGATATCTAACACCTTTCTTTTGGAATAACTTGAACCTCTTACCTATAATCTATTGGTTTCGCAAATATTATTTTATTAATTAATTAATTGATTTCATTGTTTTTCCTAAAATTAGGTGGCAACTCCTTTAAACTCTTTTTTCTTAATTATTTTTAAAAACTAAATTAATTGATTATTTTTTAAGTCACCACGACGTTTCTCCTTATTTGAATAAACTATGGATGTAAGCAACTAGTATCACAAATGAAGGCTAGGTAGGACAAACAACCTCTATCTACCAATCTCTGAGCAAGGATGAAATAAATAACCCTGCTAGGGTAAGAACCCTTCCACTTAAGCCTCAGAATGTTAGGCAAGGGTAAGGTTACAGCCTTGGAATTACAGTCAAGAATAACATAATAACGAGATAGTCAATCTATACCCAAGATGACATCAATGTCTACCATAACCCAAAGTGATCAAGTCTACTCAAGTGTCAAACCCACCCAAAGGAACATGAAAGGATCGAAAGACTCGATCACCACTAAGGGCTCACCCACACATGTAGAAACATGAATATGCACAAACATGTTATCACACATCATATCAAAAGCAGCTGCAAAATATGCAAAAGACACATATGAGAAATTAGTTCCAGGATCAAACAATAAAAATTCGTATTATGTATGTTTTGTATATACTAGTACATGTTCTTTTTAAATTTAATTGACGAACTTTGATTTGCCTTAAATTTGATTGATATATCGAAAACAACCTAGTGATGTACTCACCATAATGAAGATCCCTTTTTTTCCTTCTTGTAGTCTCAGATGTTCTACATGCAAATACGAGTCCATCATACTTATATTACAATGTAGAAGTTTTGTCAAAAGTCACTTTAACCCTAGACCCAACATCGAAACTGAAAATTTCTTTAACATTAGTTTACCCATATGATTGGGAACTCAAATATAAAATTTCACCTAAAAATGGATTTAAATTCTAAAGTAATTTTCTTGCTTCGCTTCATAAAGAATAATTTTAACTAAATTTTGAAATACTCCTCAATTCCAGTTCTTTTGTGACGTTTTGTTCTTTTCTGTTTGATTAGTCTAAAAATTACTTCTTAATTTAACTAGGGAATCTTAATGCCTTAGTTGGCTATCTTTCTCCTTGGTGGTGAGGCTTCAATTCTCTACCTTGTAATTCTCTCCCGTATTTCTCCTTTCCCTCTCCTTAGTTAAATAAGTAACAATTTAACTTTATATTCAGATTTTGTCTTAATCAAATGAATTTACCAAAAAAAAATATGACTAATTCTAGACAACAAATTTCCATGGTTTCTTTTCTCTTATTTCATGTCCAATCAAACACATTCACATAAATTGAGACGGGAGTAATATTTAAAAATTAAAATCTGTATATCCAAAAATAATATGAAAAGTACCACAAGTAAAAATTTCCTCACATCAACATGAAATATATAAAACAAATTAATTAAAATAATATGATTTGACTCTCGAAAAGCAAAATATTACGCCTAATATGGGACAATAGGTATATTTTATTGAAAACTAATATAAAATTACAAGTAGAGAAACACATCCTACATTTTTGCATGTGTTAGCTTAGTTGTGACATAGGTTTTACTTAAAATTTTGACTGTTGTTTTGGCTGGAGAATGATTGTAATCCTTGACGATGAAATATAGTATTGAAGGTTGAAATTCTTGTGTTGTACAAGTATCAAAGGGTTCTGTATCAAAGCTTTATCTCTATGTGAAAGTTGCATGAGATTGGAGTAGGTGGGAAGCAAAAGATAGATTCGAAAAGAAACTATTGCTTGATAGGAGTACCTTTTCTGTTTAATTTACTAGTTAGTTTCCTGACATTGGAAGAAAACATATATTCTCGGTTGGCTTGTAAAGCAAATATATTATTTTTACTGTTTTATCACTTTTACATGTTCCAGGACCCCACTTTACCTCTTCTTATTCTCAAGTCTCAATGCTTGTAGCTACCTACCAGATCCTCAAGAGACTATGATGGATTCAACAAGCAGCATTATGAAATTCTACATTCTTGCCTTATCCACATATCAAGTGCTCGTAGCCTCAAGTCCCTTTGGTTTAAGTGGTAAGTATGCAAATACAAGAAAATTTTATATGTTATGGTATCGAGTTGAGAGAATATAGAAATATATTTAACTCAATCTCTCCCTATTTGTTTTATGCACGTACGTATCAGGGATCGGGTTCTGCTCAACTGCTCGTTAGGAGAAATATTATTCATATTACACCTTGTATAACTAATCTATGCATAAACTAATACATAAATTGCCTCATAATAACAAACGTCAAGTTGCTAAATTCATGTTTTTGCCGGAAAATGCAGATAGAGCCAGGATTACTCCTAGTCTTGGACGTTACCAGCGTTTACGACTCCTGCAAGTTGAATCAACTAGTCCAGAAAGCTCTTTTCCATATGGAACTTATACTTCTCCTCCTCTTCTTTCAGGAGTTGTACCACCAGTTAATCCTCAAATTAACTCTCCTCCATTGGGGATATCCTCTCCTCCTGCTCCTTTGAAGTCCGTGCCACCAAGTCCACAAAACTCATCTCCATATGGGACAATCACTCCTCCTCTTACTCCTGCTGCTATGCCAACACCTTTACTTCCCACTCTTCCACCACCATCTCCAACTGCACAAACCCCACAGCATAATGCACCTAAGCCACCAGCAGTTAATCAGCCACCACCGAACAGTAGTCATTCATCGACACCACCTCCTTCTAAGAAACCTGAAAATGCCATCTGGTGTGTGGCTAAGCCAACGGTACCAGCAGACTTGATTCAGCAGGCATTGGACTATGCTTGTGGTTCTGGTGCTGGTTGTGATGCCATACAACCCAATGGGGCGTGTTACCAGCCGACTACTCTGCTTTCTCATGCTTCTTATGCTTTCAATAGCTACTGGCAGAAAAAGAAGCAGGGTGGAGGAACTTGTGACTTTGGAGGCACTGCCATGCTAGTCACTGTTGATCCAAGTAAGACTCTCAAACTCCATTAAGAAATGGAAAGAATTTTTGTGTTAAGCATGTCTTATTGTTCATCATACATTCTTATTTGGCAGGTTATAATCAGTGTCTTTTCACGTACAACTGATCTTTGAAGACAACACTTGACAAGACGTAGATGATGTTTCTGCATATGTTATTTTCTATTTACTACAGATAAGACTCTAGTAGCCTTTTTGTTTCTTTGTGCTTCTTTAATGTAGAGGAACTCCATGGTGATGTACTGCTACTTCACAATTTATATGATACATAATTCAGTTAAACGAGAAGAATTTATCTGAATGAAGAAATTAAACCAGAAAGTCCTAATCCAAAATACAACAGACATACAACCTATCCATTCTACCTTCAGTAAAGCAGGAGTTTAAAGTTTGTGCTAATGACAGATATAGTAAGAGACTGAAACAATGCACAATGCCCATGGAATTTTTTGAAGATGCTCCTAGTTATTATTATAGATAGATATAACAATCATACCGTCCAAACAACCTTAAATTGGGAAGGGTAATTAGTAATTACACTGATCAAGTAGAGGAAGCTGAATATCCTACCTATTTGTGACAGAACTGTGATGAGCATAACCACAAAATTGAAGTAAAATGGAAGTTAGAGAATGCCAATGCTTGACATAAAAAAGGATTCCCATGCATTTGCCTAAAGTGGAAACTTCCCCTTTGGATGCATGACAAGATAAAGGGTAACACAATGTCTACAAAATTTCAACGTTTATATACGTTAATGAACAGCTATTGTACCTGAACATTAAGGTAATTACTGCTTTCTTCAACTATAGCACAGTGATTATTCAACATATCATTTATGGCATCTTCAGGATCTACAATCCTGCTTCAATATGACCATTTCCAGAGAAAGCTATTAAGCCAATCTTCCTTGTCATCTACCATATCTTTGAATTCTCCGATGCCGCAACTCATCCAATGATAGATCTTGAACCTCATCCGTTGAACTAAGAGACGACAGCACATCATCAGTACGACTTGTGCTGCACATATCACAAACATTTAACCAGCCTGAATTATCAAATGTACATCCTTGGCATCGCCACATTTGAGATGTATCTCTTGTCTGTCTCCCACCAACGGTTCCTCTACCACCAATTATTTGCCTTCGGAATAAACAGTTCATAAACATTAAAGGCCAGTTCAGTGCATGCCCAAAACCTCTGATGATTGTCCTCAGTGGATTCGCACCTGAATACGATGCTTTTAAACACAAAAACAGAAGGCCGGCAAGTATTGCACCAAGGTGGCCAAGAAATGAGACACCAGGTACGAACATTTGTATGAGAATCAGTTCTGCCCAGGCAGCATAACGAGTCGGTACCAACAGCCCATGAACATATGTATAATCATGTGATTGTGCATTGAGAATAATTTTCATGGCAAAAAGAACACCAGAAAATCCCACAGCATATTCCTGATAGTAGGGCCTCTCATAGTTAAAGAACAGCAGAAGTGACTTCTCAGGCAATAGTGTGATGCCCTGGGACATAGCAACTAAGGCCTGCAACTGTCGATGCAAATTCTGCACTTCCGATTGATGTCTCCAATTGAATCCCCTTCCACAGAAGTGAGCATATTGTAGAATAAGTGAGAACCATTCAAATGGTAGAGTGCTGACAGGAAGAATCGTTTCAGGTCCTTGTGCTGCACAAGCGAAATCAAAATATGTATTCATCAAATAATAACAGAATAATATGACACATGACCTTCCAAAAACTAAAACATGCAGCTCAGGAAAGCTGTTGGCCTTATGATCAGCTAGCACGACAGAAAAAAGTAATGTCTACAAAAAGAACAAATGGAGTTAGAAATGTGAACTGAAATGATACATCCAAAAGTAACCATCATATGAACTTCTTTCTGGACCAAAACTTCAGAAAGGTGCTACGATGAATACACTAAAGAATGGTGTACATCATGGAACAGCTGGGAAAAATATTAGTACAACTTTTGATCAACTTACTCTCATTCAAGTGAGGTCTTGTCAAAAATAAAATAATCAAGCAATGTATAGCCGAGAGTAGAAACATGTAAATCTTAAAACACACACCCAACCAGTTGTAAGGGGTAATTGACATTTTCTTCAGTAATATCAAGGGCCATTACTCTACACTCAGTTGTTCAAGAGATACCATAAATGTCCTGATGCAATGATATCACACCTCGGTTAGATAAAATAAGCCTAACTTCTTATCCTTCCATGTCATTTCTACTCATGATGGAAAAAACACAATATTATTCTGAGAGCATCTTTGTCTGCATCGATCAAACAATGAAATAGAAGTTCTGACAGAGTTATAGTGAAAACAACTGATTTAAGAGGGAACGCCACATAAAAGTCAGTTCGATAACCACATAAAAACATGAGTGATAATGTTAGAGTAAGTTTAAAAAAGACTCCATCTATCATGAAAAAATAATGCAATATATACAAAGAAACACTCAAATACAACACATAGAATTCCAACTTCATCATTGTGATTTGACATCCAATTGCAGAAGACAACTATTTCTTAATTTGCACATAAGAGATGAGAGTTGATGCCTTTGAAAGGGAAGAATTAATTGTTAAGTTAAAATTCAAGGCTATGTAATTCTTTTAAGACCTTCCATTTCATGTTGTACATCTCCCTTTCTTGCTGCTGATTGTTGGATAGATGATATGGTGAAGTGTGCGTAACACATAACAATAAATTAGAAAACATTAACCAGAACACCAAAATTGTTGGCATAGCCACTTGATTTCTCATATTGGGGCTTTAAGAATCTTCAATTTGATAGCACCAGGGGACAGAATATTTAGGCCAAAACTGAAGACAGTCAAATACAATTTTCAAACTTGGACATCAACATCCTTTTAACTGATTAAAATGAACCTTTGACATAACTTTTTACATATGGCCTTCTTTTATATGGCCGACGCAAAACAACAAAATACTTTATATAATAGATGACAATACTATTACTAATTTACATAATGGCCTCTTCCAACACTTTTTTTTTTAAGGCATAAAACGAATTAAGAGTTGCATCCAAGTGAAGTCAAAGGCTCATGTGAGGCACACTTCATCCCTGAAGCTCAGTGTAGGCACTTAGCCTAACTTAAGTTGTGAGGTACAAGGCATTAAGGCATGCACTTCATTGTCCACAAGTACTAAACAACAAATATGATTGGTAAAAGCATAAATCAATTGTTAAGGAAATCATTATGAATTAAAGTTACTTTTTTCTTGCATTTTACATATATATTTGTACTTCTTTCTTTGCCACGCTAATAAAAGCCCGGTACGTTAATCGCATTTATGCTTAAAGCCCCAATAGATCTGGAGAACTTTTTTTTAACAAAAACTGGCCGCATAGTAATTTTTTAGATATTTAGTAACATAGATGTTTTTGTTAAGATAATCAATTATTTAAGTCAATCCAAACAATGGCGAATTTATAGCCTACATAATGGGGCATGTAAGCCCATGGTCTCCCCATAAATCTAGTTATTTTCTAAAGTTGGTATAACTCCCTGAATATATCACTTTCAGATACAAATATAGGTAGATATATATATAGGCGAAATTTTGGTTTAGTTTGGAAATTTTGCACAGCACCTACTGCAGCCCGTTTCTATATAGCACCTTCAAGCAAGTACATGAAGTTGTTCATCCAATTTTTAGTTTAATTGGATCAATTTACATACCAGCATCACACCTAATCCATATAATATAGCGAAAAAAGGAAGAAATGAAAATGGGTTCATACCTTAAGAATGAGCTGGGATTAAACCATACCTGATTAATGGTAGGAAGTATAGAATGAAGAAAAGTGGGCCTTACGTATATAATTGTATTAGCAGCAACAAGTGCTGCTGTAACAGGGGCTTTTCTATCCAGCCTGTAATATTCGGTCACTGTATGCAGCCTAAAAGAGGTAGCATCCCACGTGAAACTGAACTCCATCTTCCCCTTCCTCTTTCCATTCTTGAATTTGTATTAACAACAAACTTCTCACTGTCACCGAAATTTGAAGGGATTCGAATTTCCGCAGAAACTTCTTCTCCCTTCCTGTAATTTCGATTGATGAGCCAATGGGTGCCCAGATCCGACCCGGCACATTCAGTCGGGTAGCAGTATTTGACAAAACAGTTGGAAACCAAAATAAGCCACAAAAATATAAAAATTACCAAAATAAGCCATTATTTTAGTAAGTAACTAAAATAAGCTTAGTGGAAGAAAAATTTCCACTATATCCAATAATTTAAACGTTTTTCGTTAGTTTCATAACGTTTAATTTAATATATAACGAAACTTTTTCTTATACTTTCTAAAGTGGAGTTTTTTCTTCCACTTTATAAAGTGGAACTTTTTATTCCATATTATAAAGTGAAACTTTTTATTCCACTTTATAAAGTGGAATTTTTTATTATACTTTACAAGAAACATATTTTTCACGTCTTGAATAAGCTTTTTCAGTGTTGTCATATAAATTATATTGATTTGATATGTCATTAAAACGGAAAAAAATATTTCATTATGTATTTTTATTATTTTATTCTGAAAAATCTATTTAAGGATAGCACCTACAACATAAAGTCTTCTATAGCACCTACAACATAAAGTCTTCTATATTTGTTCAATTCCATCTAAAAAAAATATCTTCACAAATACAATGCTAAATATCCAATAAATGTTCGATATCATAAATTTATTTCATCAATTTATAAATGAATGGATTTAAACAGTACGATTATAATTTGATTATAGCCGGAAAATACCCTACTTCATTTTTATCACATGGACTAGTAAATTTTGGAAAGTGAATTATATATAATGACGAATCGTTGACCGACTTTTTAAGCGTTCCAAATTACTATATAGATCAAATCAAGTCAACAATACTTGAAATCTATGTTAGGAAGGAGCCTAAGATTAGTCAACAATGTTCTCCTTTATTAGTCGATGTTCATCCCTAATAAGAAAATCATAATAGCATTGATGAATTTGCGATAACTCAATCTACTGATTTTCCTAAAATGACTCATTACAAAATACTCTTACCGACCGATATGATTTTGATTTAAACAAAACTATCAATGATAGTGATCGGTAATGCTCAATTATTATATTTCAATTATTGTTTGTTGATTTTGTCAATTATTTATTAATTTATATTATTTATTATTCTTATTATTGTATATTTTGTAGTGGTTTACCTCAGCAAGATAGGGATATTGCTCCAAGTTATGGACTAAATAATTATTTTGGTTAGTCCTCACACTTTGAAATGAC